AATCCCTGACATTCTGTGATTCTGTGATGCAGTGGCTCCTGGATATGTGTGTGTATCTTGCAATTTATCTAAAGTATTGATATGCTTCCAGGTGAACGGACAATGTGCTGGACACACAGCTATGCAAGCTGCTAGTCAGAATGGCCATGTCGACATTTTGAAGTTGCTTCTGAAACAGAATGTGGATGTAGAAGCAGAGGTAACCTAAATATTTCAAAATACACTTTGTGTCTCCCTAAGTTTTAAACTTTGCTACATACAGAAATAGCATTTCTATTGGAGTTGCCTTCTTTTTAAACGCCAGACAGAGTGAAAAAAATTTTCTTACTGTGATTACGTTCCCAAATTAGCTCCCTACTAACAGTATTACAAAAGGTAAATATCCAATTCTGTAGCATCTCTAATTAAGTGAAATATAATGCTGATACAATAGTGCTGTGTAAGCTACTGTGATTGTAGTGGATGAAGCCCTTTATTTACTTGATTTCATTTCAACAATAGAATGCAATAGGCTAGCACAGTGCCTGTGGCCTTCAGAGAAGAAAAATGTCAGGTGCTGCATCTCCAACCTCAGACACTTGCCATGCCTCTTATATGCAGTGTTCAGTCAGGAGAAAATTTTCCATTCTTCACTAAAACAAGTTTGAGCAGAAAGTAATAAACACTGTCTTTGGGTAGGAACTGACAACTCTGCTTCCAGTTTTTCAAGGTTTTTGGAGGTTTTTTAACTTCATCCACAATGGAAAGATTTTTTTTTTGTTTGTTTAGGTTTTTTAGAATTATTGTTTGTGAGAAAAATTATCTGTCAGCATACTGTTTATTTGCATTTTGAATTGATTTTACCTCATTTACATACCTCCACGGAATGCACTGATATTGCAGCCTTTGCTCATTTTATGAAGCACAAGAAGGATCTGACAAATTTATCTTACTGAGAATATAAACTAAAGCCTAATAGAATGCTTAGAAGTTAATAGTGTGCCCAGTCATTGTTTGCATAACAAAGATAACTTCATATGCTTGTGCTTTTGGCTTTATATTGTATTTGATATACAGAAATTATAATATGTTGGCACATAAATGAAGCAATGATGTAATCCTTGGAACTAAAATTATGTTTGTATTCACAGATACACCATTACTTTATAAAGGTTTTCTGCTAAATGGTAAAGATAGCTTAGATTTGATGCAGTACATAGTTGCTGTGGTCTGATTTCTGTGAAGTAGCTTCCTTGTGTAAGTAGTGCTTTCACTGCAGTACGTAGCATATACTGTTACAAACTAGACTACGCTGCTTTTCATCTGTACTATGGGATCAAAGCTGCCATGTTAATCAAGTGGTGGACTGATACTTTCTTCTCTGGTATGAGGAAAGGTTAGAAGCATTAGAGAGGGAAGTAGAAGCACTACTTCAACAGCTTCAAGATAATACACTTGGTAATTGGCTAGCAGTAGAATTTTTAAGAGTTCATGTTTGCTTAGGCTTCAGAAGTATCGTAACACTAGCATTAAAAAAATATTTCCAGGTATTCTCATTTGAACTTTCAAGCCTTTTCATGTAACTTTAAGTTATTTAAATAAAGGTGATATTCCTAGTTAAATATGTAATTGCATTAATTGCGATAAAATTAATCAGATATGTAGTATGATTAGATTAATGATTACATGTTTCAGGCTTTAAAAAATGTCAGATGTCTATAAAATAGTGATGTGAAGACACAGCAGAGTCATCCCATTATGCAGAGAGCAAAATTTAGTTCATGTACTTCGCTATTGTGGTCTGTGGCATGGAAGCAATGGATAAAAATCCTTACTTTGCCTTCTTTATAGCTAAATTTGATGTATTTACACTTAAAGTCACTGCTGCAGAGTATAGACATTCATGATGAGGTTTTGTGGGGATGCCCTCATACTGTTGTCTCCTCTGTGTTTATGTCTCTGACAGCTTAATGCTGCATATAAGTGGCCTCTGTTTAGTCAGAAAACAATTTATTACTGACAGAGCTCAAAAAGCCTGATGTAGATATCATATAGTAAAAATATATATCCTTCTAGTCTGCAGAAATTAATGGATATCAGTTATTATATTGACAGTAGTGACAATATTGTTGACATATATAGAAATATAGTGCTTTTAATATTAAGATTTATATCTCAATGTAAGTCTTAGGACAGATGCTTAATTAGTTGCTAGCTTTTTCTAGATATATCAATGTACTATTGTGTAGAAACTACACAGTGGGATTTAGCTCCTGAGATTATTTGTTTTGATGCTAAGCTAAAAAAAAGTACGTGCTTTCTTTGACCTCTACTCATTAAAGGTAGAAATTCTATATATTAAGATTTTATAAAATCAGGTGTTTGCGTCTCAAAATTGGAATATGTTAAAACTCTAAAATATTTAATAAATGATATGAGGTTTCATCAGTAAGTATCTTAGTGTACTTTGCCGACTGCAGATATGAAAAGATATATTGCCACATACTTTGTTAAAGAAGTTCTCTGTAAATATAAATATTGTAGCAGTTTAACACTACTGTCGTGGTCTTCATAAAGTTTCAGCTCGTAATGATTTTTATAACCAGATGAGAAATACAGAGTAGTTCTGCTTTCTGATCCTTTCCCTTTCCAAATGGGCAAGCTTTGGCTTCTTTTGACTGTATTAGATGGGCCTGGGAAGAAATCCTGCTATCTTAGAAGACAGTTTTGTAGTGTGAGTTGATTTGGAATGCATAAAAAAACTATTGATTTTTGCATTGATGTAAAATATATTAGAAATGTGTTACACATAATAAAAATAGCTTTCAAAAGACATTGCTGAAGGAGGAGCAAATTGATAAGAGAAACTAAGCTTACCCGAGAGACATCCAGTGCACCCTTGATTAGTCATGATTTTTTCCTCCTTATAATTTTCAGTATTTCTCTATTGTAAAAGTTAAATCCTATAAATACATAGTAATATTCCACTGTACAAAAAAACTTAGTTAGAAACTAGCTTATGGAAGTTATTTCATTGAAGCTTGTTATATACCTTCCATTTTACTTTTAACTTTTGTATACTGTCATTAACGTTGAAACCACTTGGTTAATATTTTAAAATGTTTCATGTAGTACAGTCTACTCTTATGGATGTGGATGTTCCAATAACCCAAACCGACAAATTTATGACTTTCATACCTTAATTCTCAGTTTGGATGAAACTGAAACAAACTGAATTTAATCAGAGCTTTAATGCCATGAATCATCATCATAGAATCAGAACATCTAATTAATTTTAGCATCAATCCAGAACTTCCTTTGGAAGAGGTTTATTAGCTGAAAACTAAGACACATATGATAAAACCTAATAAATATTAGCTTAATGGTATGAACAAGGCAATTCTCTTGTCTTATACCATGGTTTGGTACCATGTCTTATACCACGCTTCCTGGTTACAGGAAGGGCTGCCCTGGATTACTGAGTGTAGCTACTGGATTACCGGGTTTTGAGGCTTGGGTTTTATTTGGGGGTTTTTTGGTGGTGGTGGTGTTTTGTTTTTTTGGGGGGGTTATTTGATAGTGGTTGTTTTGTAGTAGAAACCCAAATTAATCTATTAGTTTCTAATCAACACATCACACGTAGATTCAAGGCAATAATTGTATGTGGTATGGAATATCATATGTCATAGAATATGTATGTTTGTATATGAACAGACTCTTCAGCCTCTATTGCTGTGGTTTGAGCAATTGATTTAATTAGGTATTTGAATGGTATCATGGTTGTCTATTTTTTCTTTCTCTTTAAAGGACTCAAATATGCACAGTTGTCCAGTTTAAATTAATCTTATTGTTTAAATGCAGAAGAAATGTGGATGAAATTAATGTTTCTCCTTCAGGACAAAGATGGAGACAGGGCTGTCCATCATGCAGCCTTCGGTGACGAGGGTGCTGTGATAGAGGTTTTGCACCGAGGCAGCGCAGATTTGAATGCTCGCAACAAACGCAGGCAGACTCCACTTCATATTGCTGTCAACAAAGGTCATCTGCAAGTTGTGAAGACTTTACTGGACTTTGGCTGCCATCCTAGTCTCCAGGTAAAGTCAATATTAGCATAGATTCACTTTTTAGCTACTGAATTTTATGATTCGCTGTATGTAGATGCTGTATGTAGGTGATAGAAGAATAGTGGAAAATAGGATTGAAAGGAATGGACCTTGTGAAGTTATCTGTCCCAACCTCTACCACAACGTGTGATCAGCTGTGATAAAAATGCTTTTATATCTGTTTTCTTGACAACTAGATAGGCACCTGATTTATTCTAGCCAGTTGATGTTAATTGGTGTTTTCACATACTGTAGTTATCTGTAATTGTTAACTTTCTCTCCAGATTTATTCCTCCTCTATCGAATCCACAGCTGCTTGCTCCTTCTGCAAGGCACAGCTTTGCATTTTTTGGTTGATGGTACTGTGGAATGTTTCATTAAAAGAAAACTTTTTTCAGAATTGATCTATCATTGATAGAACTGTTTAGCCAGAATGTCTTTTAAAAACGTTCAGCCTTTTATCTAAAAAGCCCTCATGCATAGGGCCTCAAGTACCATAATTTCACAGGGAGTTTTATCTATATTGAATGTGTTGGAAGCTGTGAAGTATGAGTGCAACCTTCTGTTGAGAAGGTAGAGTAGAAACCTGCTGTCAGATAAGCGGGCATCCACAGTCTGTATGAGCTGAATGCAGCTGCATGAAGTGTTTTAGTAAAACAAATCCGAATGGGTAAGTTTGAAGAGGTTTGCAACAGAAAGAAAAAGCTGTAATGTCCTGGGCAAATCAAGATATGCAGTAATAACACATTTACCTCCTTGTTTGGTCATGTAATAATCAGTGATTTTTTTTTTTTTTTTTATGCTGTATATCCACATAAAAAAAGATGAGCAAACTTTCTTGAAATTACTGAATAGAGGGATTGTTTACGTATCTGCTTCCATCTAGCTTTATAGCTACTGTCCTGATCTTGCTGAGGTTGAGCTTTAGCCAGCTAACATCCATCCAGGCCCTATTCAGTATTTGTTGAACAGTAGATATAATAAGGTGTGTTGAGCCCAATAAAGGGTGACTGTATGTCATTTAATGATGTATGATATATAAAAATGGGTGTGTCTGACTTAAAATTATTGGTCTTTTGGATTGAAAAATTCAGTAGAATGGTGCTACGAAACTCCATCTGGGAAACATAATTGTCATTGAAAATAATGAATTTTCAGATCCTGCACGTGTGCTGAGGAACTCTGATGTGCAAAAGCGAGTAGGCGATTGATTTGGTGGATGAAAGCACAGGGGAGTCAGACTGAGGCATGACTGGAATTTAACTGGCCAGCACTTTGCTACTACTCAAGCCAATTCACTGTGTAAACAGAAACATATGTTAGTCTGTAAACAGTATATTCAGGAAATATGATAAATTAAACCAAATAAAAGCTACATAATTTAGTTTTAGCAAACTGCTTCACACCGGTTCAAGTGTTTCCATATTCTGGCACTTTTTGTTTGGCAGTTTTTGATTCTCACTGTAAAGATGTGTTTTCATATTAGTGTATTGCTAAAATGTTCAGTTCCTGTGTTAGTCAGTTTGCAGTTGAGTCAGTGTCAGTGACAAAAGACTTCCTGACTTATATGGTGTTAGAATTTTACTGGAAGCATAAATCTAGAGAGTTTGCCTATATAGCAGCAAATAAGCTTAAATGGATGTGTTTTCTCACTGTTAGTCTAGGGCATTCCTTTTCAGTCCAACCATTTGGGTCCTTGAGTAAGTAATGTACAAAATGCTTCTAGGAATAAAAAGTATTTTTCCCTTATTTGGGATATTTGAGAAATAGAATGTCAAACTAAAAATTTAAATTCTTTGCCTGTTCAATTATGCATTGAAATATTTTAATGTACCTTGTGTAATGTAATCTGGTATTAGCCGTAACAAGTTTCAAAGCTTAATATTGCTTATAACACTGGCCTTTGCTTCATGGAAAATGATCTGCTTCAGTTTATTACTTGGCCTGCATTTTATTTTGATTTGCTTATACTTTTATTTCACCCTGTCTTTTTGGTACTGTCTCTTAGGTGTTTAATTGCTGGCCTTCATCACTCACAGTTCCCTGTCTTCCAATTGCCTGGCTAGTCTCCTGTCTGTTACGTTGCTTTTTGTTGCTGTCCTATGACTCATAAATTGTACCTTAAGCATCAACTCCATCTGGACATGAGGCGTAGAGAAGTTGATGTCTACTCCAGTGTCTTCAGTACTGTCAGATGCAAGGCATGCTGAGTTCTGGTGCAAGTGTAGTCACAGAAGACTGGAGCCCTGGGTGGGATTACTCTCCGGAGAGTAATCTCCCAGAACAAGATCAGGAAGTAGCTTGCTCTGAACCGTGCAGTATAGCAACACTTCTAGGTCTGAAGAGCTGCTTTGTGTTTGTGTCGTCAGTTTTCCTAGTGATATTTAAGCATCTTTTTTCTTTAATGTGGGCGCATGTAAAAATTGATGTAAGCTGTTTCTGGTTTTAGGATTCTGAAGGTGACACTCCTCTTCACGATGCAATAAGTAAAAAGCGTGATGACATCCTTGCTGTATTGTTGGAAGCTGGAGCAGATGTTACTATCACCAACAATAATGGGTTTAACGCTCTGCACCACGCTGCACTAAGAGGAAACCCTAGGTAAATATTTGTTTATAAAGACTATCTTTTCATTTGTAAAAGGAAAACAAGTGTATGGGAGGGTAGAATTATGATATTCTTTCAGAAGATCCTTAAACCTGCATGCAATTATTTCTTAAACTTTTATGTTGCTTAGCTATGTGTCTTTCTAATACCTGGGAAGCAATTACTAGAATGAAGCTACTAGTCTGGTCAGTTCAACACTGTATTCAGGTAACTCCAAATCCCTGGGAAATATCATATGGTGGCTGTAAAATTTTGCCAATGAACATTTTTATAAGTAAGTTATTTAGTAAAATCTTAAGGTAGGATTTGTCAAAATGTTTCCCTTCTCAGATACTGGAATTTGGAAAGGGATTTAGGTTTTTGGAAATACATATGTGTGAATAATTATTAAAGGTACCATGCAGTTATAAAGTGATTTTAGGATTGTTACGTTAAATTGTATTCGTCAGTGTAAGAAACACTTAATTTTTTTTTTCATAAAAGTATGTATAGAAGAAATTTCTTATTTCAGGGTGTATATAGCAGATTATCTGAAAAAGTTCATTTTAAGGCATAATTTTTTTTTGTGCTAGCTGCATAGTATACATCTACATTCAATCTTCAGTTAAGATAGCTTTCAAAAACTATAATGCATAGATAGAACTTAATGGAAAACTTGCTGCATTGCTGGTTGCTTATTACTTTGTGGATAAATGGTATTCTTCAGAGCTGTCAGTCTAGCAAGACTTCAGTATGTTAATAGTGTGGTGGAGAATTTGGTATAGTTTACATGAAATAAGAAATGTGTTTACTTGCTTAACTTTGCCAAATTCTGCTATTTTTCAGTTGAGTGATATTGAACAAATAAGGCTGTATATTAATGAATGGGAATAAAATCTGAGTTAGTCTCTTAGAACACAGGTATCAAGACTGATAATTAAAAATTAAACATAAGTGTTTATGTGTATGTAGAATGGAGTTGCTTCACAAAGTAAAAGTAGTGGTTGGAATTGTTCATAGGAACGATAAATATGTTTACAGTTTTTTGCAGTGCTTATAAAAGTTCTGTACGAGAACGTGTCAGGGACCTAGTGAAGGGAGTTTATTTTTGGCATTGAGGAGACGGTTCTTTCAAGTCTGATTTGGTAACTTACTTAATGTGAATTCTCCATGTTTACAGAACAGCATTAGCCAGGAGTACTGTTTCCTGTCTCCAGTTACCTAGATGGGGTATTTTTTGTTGGTTTTTTGTTCTGCGATGCTTTCCTTGGGCTCTTGTGAGATGCAGGGAAAGTGCATGGGAAAAAAAGCTCTTCATAAGGATGCTGAATTTTTTTCTGTGGGTGAATGTTTTAGGAGCTGCAGGCTTTTTTTTGATGGAGGGATCCAAATCGTATTTCAGACTGGGTCTGTTTGACAGTTGGCAGAATGTGAGGCATAGTGCAGTTTTTCCCAGAGTCTTGTCTCCTTTATAAAAGCTTTTACTGGAAGATTATTAAAATATTTCCTGTATTAGTGATTCGAACCCAGTGTAGGTCCCCCACATACATGGGTTTTCACTTGCATCTAAAACAGATATCTAAAGCTGTTAGATATTTACTTTTTTAGTTGCAGCTATATCTGAGCACTTCTGAAGCATATAAAAAGCAAATCTTGTCTCCATCACAGAGCAGTAGTTTCATTTGTTCACAGCATTAGATATTTTACACATCAACCTGGGAAGAAATTAATTAAAATAAAACCAAAATAAATCTATTCTGATTTTTTTTTTTGTCCTGGCCAGAAAAAAATATTATAATAATTTGATTCATTTAGGAGTTAAGTTTTATTTTCTTTAAGATTTTAGTGATGGTCATTTATTTTGTTATTGATTCTGTAGTTCTACCACTGGCCTCTTTCTGAATGAAACCAAAAGGTTTTTATTTGCCATTTTGCTTTTCTAATCTGATATAGAACAATGGATCTTACTGATCTGTTAAATGCACTAAGCACAAGCTATTTAAAACACTGTTAAAAATAAACCATCTGAACTTTAGCTTCTAACTGGTATGGGTCACAAGCAGTACAGAATATATTCTGCTTGAAACCTTACTTAAGGACCTGTCTTCCCTAATCTAAGCTTTCCTGCTCAACCTATACTGGAATTTTTGTGGCTTCAAGCTATGGTGCCTTATATGGAATACAGTGCATTATAAATTGCCCCTAAGGTCAAATAAATAAATATATAAAGAAATGCTATTTCATAAACGTTAAACATGTATTCATATATGCATATAAGCTTGTATGCATGTGTGTGTATATATATCTACATTTATATAAAAAAAAATACTGTGTATGTCAGTATTATTAAAGTCCACATCCAGCTTCCTAGTTACTGATAATAAAATAAATGCATGCGTTAAGTGCATGAATACTACAGTAAAGTGAACTAGATTTCTATAGAATTCTTTTAGTAGGTATCAAATAAGTATTTAGAACCAATTTTATTTTCAGTGCAAAATCTATTCTGATTCTTGCTTGAGTTCTGATCTTTACTGACAGTAGGGAGATAGATCTCCAAGAAACAAAAAAAAAAACTGTGCTGAGGAGAACATTTGGAAGTTTAAAATTTTTCACGTGAAAAGTAATACTTATATTCTATTTTAAACATTTGAATATTAGATAAATATTATAAGAAAGATAGCAATTTATATCAAATAGCTTAGGTATTTCTCAGCACTTAATCTTCCATGACAGTTTGGCAGTGTTTTCCAGAAGTCAAGGTACGATGTGTTTTGGAGAACATCCTATTTTTAGTGGAATATTTCCCCTTTTAATGATTTCCTTCTGTTCATGCCTTGTGAATTGGTATAGAAACAGAACTTTCGGTTTTCATGATAATGTGTAATGTTGAAATATAGACTGGGTGTTACTCAGTTCATGTTGTAGGTAGTTTTAAACATGTGCATGGGAGATAGAGCTAAAAAGAAATTTGAAGTGTGGAGAAGTTAAGATTTTGTTTAGTACATGGTTTCTTTTTTATGATTTTTAACTGAGTCAGTCATATTAAATGCATTTATTTTGGACTTTTTTTTCAAAGTACTGTGAACCTCCAAGCTTGGCAGACTTTGTTCAGACAGGAAAAAGGGGAGTAAAATTTGAAAATACTGTACAGATGGGTTATTTTTTCTGTGTTATCAACTCTCGGTTATGTTTGATCTATTCACATACCTGCGACTTCAGATTTTTGAGCTGAAGACATGACTGTGAAGTGTAGGTGCATTTTATATCCGTTGCCCCAGTTAGTTTTAGATCTGCATTGTATCTTACAGAGAGAGCTCTATTCACGCTGCAGCTAGCCTCTTAAATACAGGCTGCTTTTACAGCTGACTCGACTTTGCACATACGTATGACTGGTTCTTCAGAGCAGTAAATTCTGGTGGACTTTAAATAAAAAAATTAAAATGTCGGAGTAAGATGCAGATTTCATATTGCTGTCCAGTGGCAAGGAGTAAGTCATCTTTGTGTTCATAAACTAGCAAGTAGGAGATTGTGGTTTAAAGTGGAATTATACTTTTCCCCGATGGTTGTCTTATTTAGTAGATTTCTCCTTGTTTTTAGACTTGCAGATAGTTTGAACTGGTTGGCAGTGGAATTTCTAACTGGTTTTAGCAATGTATTTGAGAGGTGGGGATTTCTCACCTGTATTCCATGTTAATGAGCATCTCGGGGACTTTTGTGCTGTGCTGTCGCGGAGGTCCTCACAGAGGCAAGTTGTGAGGCAATCAGAGTTGTACAATTATTTTGTAAGCCAGTAAAAGGGATTTTTCTTTCGTATTTGCAGTTCTGACAGTAAGTGTAGGTCAAAGCTGAGTACATAAAAAGCAGGCTCCTTAAAACCTCAGTATTATGTCAGAAAATGCTTTGAAAGAAGACTTTTGTTCAAGTTGATTTGGAGAAAGAATATAATCTCCATGACCAGACCTATAATTAGACGACAGATTAGCCTGTAGCTGTTGAGGTCAGTGACAAATTTATTACCTTTAAATAGTAAATAATATGCCCAGCATGTACAAGATGGCAAATACAGTTCCTACCCTGTGGAGTTTCCTCCCTTGTGCAATTAAAAAAAAAAAGAAAAAAAAAAAAAAAAGGCAATGGGTGGCATGGGAAGAGAGGTGCTCAGAGAAAGCAGATTTTCGCTCCGTTGCCAGTACTGTTCATGATTGCTTCCTTCTAATAAGGTTTTTTATGGTCAGTTCTGTTACAAAGGCAACAGACTTGAGGAAAAATACAGGAGACAATAAATCATTGGAAAATGTGTTTTATTTTGCTGTTTACCTATCTTCTTTAGAAATGTTGTAAGAGATCAATTTTCATTGAATGTGGACAGAATATTAAACACCGTAAATAGCCGTTTATTTACAAATACAACTTTGAAATTTTGTAATACAGCATTTGCTACATTCCTTATTTACCTTCTATCTTAAACCTGCCTACAATAATTGAAGAGAGAACTGCATAATTACTCTGAGCAGACTTAATGTCCAGTTTTAAAAATATGAGAAATCCTGCAGTGATCAATGCATAGCTACAGCTGGTTGAAGGGGACCAAATCCATTGAAGAGGTGATTTGGTTCCATTTTACCAGCTTTAGCAAAGCATTGGAGTGTAGGAAGGTTATAATTCATTACCACATTTTTAGGTACTTGAATAGTTCACAAAGAACATGTGGCTTTCTTCTGTGTTACATGTTCTGTTTCTAGTCAATACAAATTTTAATTCCTTCACTAATTTGGAGGTGGCAAAATTGAAAACTGTGTACCAGAAAGGCCTGTACAGTATCCAGGTTTGTTCCTTCCTCGAGTATTTCTTTGAGGCTCTTTGGATGAGTCTCAAATGAAATTATAGTTACAGTTTTAACTTTTTTTCTGTCTGCAATAATGAAATTCTAGAGTAGTGACCAGAAAGTGTAGTCTTACAATTTCTACTAACGTAAAGCTCCCTTGCATCTTTATGTTAAACTTCACTGGGGA